TTCAAGTGATCGTTCATACGATGAAAGTGCTTTCGAGTACTCGCCCATGCTATAATACACGATACCGATGTTGTTGTAGGAAGTAGCCAAGTCGGGATGATTCGGAGGGAGAGCTATTTTTTGGATTTCAAGTGATCGTTCATACGATGAAAGTGCTTTTGAGTACGCGCCCATGTTATCATACACCATCCCGATACCTTCGTAGGAAGAAGCCAAGGAGGGATGATTCGGAGGGAGAGCTATTTTCCAGATTTCAAGTGATCGTTCATACGATGAAAGTGCTTTCGAGTACTCGCCCATGTTAGAATACACCAACCCGATGTTGTTGTAGGAAGAAGCCAAGTCGGGATGATTCGGAGGGAGAGCTATTTTACGGATTTCAAGTGATCGTTCATACGATGAAAGCGCTTTCGAGTACTCGCCCATGCTATAATACACCAACCCGATACCTTCGTAGGAAGAAGCCAAGTCGGGATGATTCGGAGGGAGAGCTATTTTCTTGATTTCAAGTGATTGTTCATACGATGAAAGTGCTTTCGAGTACTCGCCCATGTTTTTATACACTATACCTATGTTGTTGTAGGAACCAGCCAAGTCGGGATGATTCGGAGGGAGAGCTATTTTCTTGATTTCAAGTGATTGTTCATACGATGAAAGTGCTTTTGAATACTCGCCGATGCTATAATACGCCGAACCGATACCTTCGTAGGAAGAAGCCAAGTCGGGATGATTCGGAGGGAGAGCTATTTTCTTGATTTGAAGTGATCGTTCATACGATGAAAGTGCTTTCGAGTACTCGCCCATGTTATTATGCAGCTCTCCGATGTTGTTGTAGGAAGAAGCAAAGTGGGGATGATTGGGAGGGAGAGCTATTTTGCGGATTTCAAGTGATCGTTCATACGATGAAAGTGCTTTTGAGTACTCGCCCATGTTATCATACACCAAGCCGATACCTTCGTAGGAAGAAGCCAAGTCGGGATGATTCGGAGGGAGAGCTATTTTGCGGATTTCAAGTGATCGTTCATACGATGAAAGTGCTTGCGAGTACTCGCCCATGTTATTATACACGGTACCAAGCTGAAGATTATAATCTGATCGCTCTTTATCAGTAGATGCCTTTTCGAGAAGTATCTTCCAGAGATGTTCTGCTTTTGCAGGCTGACCAAGTTTAATAAGTATGTGACCAAATCGAGCCCATCCTGTTGCCCAAGTGGACTCTTCTCGCAGATGTGCTGTAAGTGTGTTCAATTCATGATTGTCATTACCCACAATAGTGAGAGTGACTTCGTATAGCCGATCAGAGTGATTATCGTGAATTCGTTCAATGCGATCGATACGAAAAATCGCATGTGTTGTAAAAAGTATTTCTTCTTCCTTGTCTTCAAAGAAGCCAATTTTGTTAGTTACTTCAGCAAATGGTGTTGAGGATTTCGAGCAAATAGCCGTATCAATGTTCATAATGAAGAGAATACCAACTGAATTTGTATTTAATGCTGCTGATCGTGCAAAGTTTTTGAAAGATATCTCACGGTTGCGACTTGTCGACAGAAAATTGTTGAAGGACATAAGTCCTCCTTTGGTTTTTTTCATTTTTTCAAAATCTTCCATGGACAAACCTTGTCCACGAAAGACTTGAAATTTTGCTGGCATGCTGGCTATTTGTTCGCGATGTAGTTCGGTAATATGCTGATGTAGATGTCGGATGAAGAAGCCCATCTTCAGGATAATATCGACATCCATTTGTCGAAGACCATAATTCAGCATTGAGTAAATAAAATATGGACCTGTGTACCACCAAATGGGTGAATGATTACGATATTCTTCTTCAATCTTTTCAAGTGTTTTTTCGGAAGCATCGCTTTGAAGACGACAGTATTCAACAAGTTCTTTAATCGATTTGACATCGTCATCTTCGATATCCAAGAGTGCTTCCTTTAACAATTGTGTATACATAAATAATGGATCGATTCTATTAAAACTTATCGAGATCATAGCTCGATCACAATTTTTTTGATCGATTTGTAATGCTTTACAAATCGGTTCGATTTGTGTGTATATACCTTGTACCTTAGGTATTGTTTTGGCCCATTCCTCATGAATTGATTGATTGCGACATAAAATATAAATTGAGACTAACTGTGGGCATTCTTGAATTATCGGTATTATATGTTGTGCCAGGGCACCTGATACGATCATAAATACTTTTTCGTTCTCAATGTCAGTGAGAAAATCAATGGATTCATCAACGTCTGTAAACACTGCGACCGTTGCCGCTATATGTTGCAGATATTTCACTGGTTTTTCATAATCGTCTTTGGACTCATCAAAATTGGCATCGAGCCATACCAAAAGGAAATTTTGAAGAATCCGACGAGCAGTTTGAGGAAGTACTGCATTTCTGCTTGTCGTTGTTGTTGGTAGTGATGCTGCTGCTGTTGTTGATGATGATTTTTTTGATTTATTTATTGTGGAAGGAGAAGATGATCCACTAGCAGTTGATTCTGAATGTTGCTTTTTGTCCATTTGGATGATTTTGATGATAATAATGACGTTGTGTTTTTCGTAAATGATTTTTTTCTATAGTTTTTTTTTCTTTTTTTCGTGTTGACACTTTTTATTTTTTGGTTTGTTATTTTTGTTGCTATAGAAGACTTGAAGGATTTCTTTGCCCAATTTTTTGTTTGTTCGTTCGTTTTCTTTTTATTTCAAGAGTTTTTTTTATTGACAAAACGACAGTGACGAAACATGTGTCACCAATAACTGAATAATTGTATTATCGATCAATTGCGCATGATTTGTAGGAAAGAAAAAACAAAAAGTTACAAATAGAATTTCAAAATAAGTCGCTATATTTTTTGTTTTCATTGTTTTTCTTTTTCTTTACTCCTAAAGCCACCTACACATTAGAAGACCCAGGGTCTTCTATTCTGTCTTATCGCTCATAAGTTACAAGGGGGGGTCTTCTATTATGTCCCCTAAAAAGTTATACTTTTCACCAGCCTTTCCAACAAATTTTTGTTTCAATTCAATTTTGTTCTACATAATCGTTAGAAAAACAGTATTTTACTTATTCGACATGTGTATGATGAGATAGCAACAAATTTTATCCTGTGAAAAAAAAGAGAGTCTATCATTGGTAATAAATATTCTTAGAATATTAAAGGAAACGTACCCGAACACCTTGGTAAAATGTTCACTAACAGTTTTTTTTCTAAAAAATAAGATCTGCCATTGAACAAATTTTAACTTCTCAATAACTAAATAACTCAGAAAAA